GAAGAACCACCTCACCGTGGCACAGAGCGAACACTTTGACCACGTTTATCAGGAGAAAATGCAGGCTGTGGGTGTGACTTTCCCGTGGGATTGAAGAATGCCAGATAATTCCCTCTCCTGTTATTTCTAGGCAGGATCTTTCATGTGCGAATTTTGTGTGGAATGTGCCCATCTTCAAGTTTACCAAGTGTTCACACTCTACGTCTCCTACACTTCGTATGAGGAGGCCAGGGGGGGGAGTTCTGTTCTTTTCTTGTCAGGTGTGCAGAAATGGAAGGAAAAATGTCATAGTTGAACTGCTGCAAGGTAACCGACAATAAAAGATGCCCATATCTGCAGGTGTGCTTTATATACTGAATTCTAAAGGAATTCCAAAGTTAATTCTTCCATACTACAGCAATTCCCACCATCATTGTGGGTAATTCCAGGGACTGAAAAAAAAGTTCTTTTCCAAACTCTTAAAAAAATCTTTCTGCAAAAAAAATCCCTCCTTTTACTACTCCTCACTGTGAAGTGGTTGATTCAGAGATCTTGCAGTGTGTTCTTTCAATACAGATTGTCAGCTACTCCCCGAATATAAATATTGCAGGTGGAAGTAATTGCTAGGCAGCGTTTGAGGCATGAATACTGTATGGAACTAATAATATATGTGCATCCAGGGAAAAGAGCCAGCCTGTGTAGCCTAGGGCAGGCGGCACGGTTCTGGAGCAGCCCCAGAAGAAAGGAATGGTCAACCATTCATGACTACTGTATATCTAGGAAACTCTGAAAAAAGAGTTGACATAAGTTAGCATTGACTTGCACTTATGATTAGATCAGTATATGAGAGAGGGGTGAGACTGTAGCACATTATGCTCTTCCTTTTTCTGTGTGGGAATTCACACCCATAAGTCCCAGCTGAATGATCGGGATATGGTGTTGTTTCCCTTGGACACCAAAATTTCTTGCTTACCACTGTCTGGCGCAGTCTTCTCATTTCTCCTGATAGCTTTTCTCACAGGGGATGCTGCCACTTCTTCCAAACTGCACAGTCAGTATTCTGTGGCTTCTGAACTAACTGCTGTCCCTGTGGTTCCTCCGTTTCTGCTATTTGCTGAAGCGTGAATCCTCTAATTCATTGCTCCACATGACGTTCTCCAGATATTCTTGGATTAATTCCCAGAAGGCTTCTCCACTAGAGAGGAGAAGCCTTCTGGGTTTCTGGGAGTTGTAGTCCAAGAACCTCAGGGAACCCAAGATTGGCAACCACTGCTTTTATCCCTTGCAGAAACAGAAAGCCACGTGGTGTTCAGTGGGATGTTCTTAATTTTGTGTAACCTAGTTATCCTTGGAGGAAGCACCGACAGCTGTTCTTTGTGCTGCAGCTTTCCAAAGAGCATTCTTCTCAACAGATTCTGGAGCCCTCAGAAATAACAACAACAACATGAATGTCAATGGAAGTGTAAATCATGCCTGCCAGCCCATTCATGTACAGATAGCCAGTGTGATGGGCAGAGCCGGATTTAGACCTGGGGGGTGGGCTTTAGGATCTGGGGTTCCTCATATACAGGGATTAAGATAAATGGCAAATAGCCAAATTTACACACCAATGTCCATATATTGCATGTCACTGGAACTTATACATACAGAAAAGCTAAATGAATCATATATCTAAAGTAAATACATGTATACCTTTAAATACATGCCAGCAAAAATACAGACAAAATTTTAGGTAAGAGAAATGACAAAGAACAGCTCTGCTGCTGTGTACTCTCCAGTTTTCATGGATAAAATGGGCAACTCGACTATTTACACAACCAAACTAAACTCTGAAACTGCAAAAGTTTTAAGTTTATCTAAGCTAAGAGCAGTACGTTTTGCCAACTTACAGCTATATACATCACACTAGAATATCTCCAAAATGTCTTTCTACACTTGGCATCTGAAAAATCTTTAAGGAACCCCTCAGGCTGTATCATCTTTCGAACACTGCTCTCTACATTCAGTAGGCACGGAGGATTTAGTCCTTCATGGGTCATCATGGCTCTCGGATGCTTCTTTATGAGTGCCAATTTGCTGAAGGATGCTCTCTCTCTATATATATATTTGGTGACTCTTGCCAACAATTTTTGTTATACTCTCAGTCAAGTGGTGGTGCCCAGCATGATAAAGTAGCATTTTCTCCATGAAAACTTAGAATGTATTGGATTTTTAGTGATCTAATAAAAGGTATCATTATACTCCTGTATTTGCTTTTAAAAAGAGAAAAGAAGGGAAAGGAAGGGTGAGAGGACAGCTATCTGCCCCCGTGAAACGAGACTTCATACATAGAGTTTACACAGAATGTCTGCGAAACTGGTTCTCATCTTGTGGACTTTGAGTTGCTCTTTACAAGTGGTTCCACAAAGCCTAAAAGGTGGCAGAGAAAACTGGGGGACCTTTTGGCCTCCATTAACCTCACAGGATGCGCGCCTTGTTTCAGGATTTCTGGTGACCGTTCTAAAAAAGGAAAAAAAATGTTTTAGCTAAAGTAGGATCCATTTGATTGTGTGGAACTGTAAATGAAGACAGGCAGATAACAACAAGAAGCACTCATTCCCCAAGAAAATACTAGACCAGTGATGGTGAACCTATAGCACGTATACCACAGCTGACATACAGAGACCTGCCAGTCAGCACGTGAACCATAAGTCGCCAGATCGCTAACACCCCCCCACACACACACAACCTCAGACACTGCACAGTCATAAGCCACCTATCTCTGCTGCCTTCCTTGGTTGTAAATCCGTTCTATATATATAGATCAGATGTTTGTGCCAGGTCTGTTTTTGTGAGGTGAGTTCAGACTCAGGTTTCAGGCATCATCTGGCGGATGGGTGCAGCCTCAAGCACCATCTTTTGCAGCCTGGTTTGAATTTTCTATCCAAAATGTCAAACACAGGGTTTGCTAATTATTTTGTGACTGCCACCCCTCATGAACCAAGACATCGCCTGCTTCCAAAACACAGAGCTTCTTTCTGTCTGTGGGAGGAAAAAAGCACAAAGACACAGGAACCTGTATTATAAGTTGGGGTTACAATTTAGTTTATTCACCCGGTCAAAGAAACCAATTAAAATCAAATTGCTCCAGATCTTTGCTTCAGCTGAGGAGACCAATGATCTAGTCTCCTTTCTTTTGCAAACTCTGGGGAGGCCCTAAACACATCCTTCCCTTGAGACGCTAAAATTTTTCCTTATTTTGTGCAATAGTTAATTCAGGCACTTTTACAGATGATTGCAGGCAAAGTATTGTTTCCCATTTTAAGTTTTAATAAAAGAAAACATTATTTTAATTGGTCTATTTTTGTACAGAATGCCCCCCCCCCGTTCTGGCAGGTGGAGCCTGAGGCAATTACTATCGTGATAGGACCTGTTTGATCTTCCTCTCCCTGAATTACTGGCATATTAAATGGAGAACTTTTTAGAAAAAAACATTGTGGCCAATAATAATGCTGGACTTTGCTTTTCTCCTCCTCCTTTCCCATTGCCCATTCATTTTATTTCAGGTCATGACAGGTAGCAAAGCTCAATTCTAGCTGATTAGCCCTTTGTTCCTGGCAGAGAGCAGGGACAAGGGAGATACAGGGGCCAAAGATCAGAAGCTACTACTTGGAAAGTGAGGCAGAGTTTTCGTTTGCAGGGGGATTCTGTTGACGGAGCAGCTTGAAAGGACTTTCAAGGAGAGAAAAAAATATTGTCACCTTTAAACTGTGAAGCTAGTATGCCATCCAGTTTTTTTGCAAGAAAGTTCAATGTTCAGGTAAGAAGATCTTTGGGGACCACAGAGGAGGAGGGACTGGTATCTACTATGGGAATGAATGCTCCCACTTGCCATTGTCTTCTTGTCTTTAGTCAAAGGTACCCTCCCTTAGCTAAATCATGTTTTCCTTTTAGAGTGGTTACTGGAACTTCCTGGAATAAGGTGTGCAGTCTGTTGGGTAAATAGAACTGAAAAGATCCCCCAGTTTTCTCTGCCACCTTTTAGGCTTTGTGGAATCGCTTGTAAAGAGCAACTCAAAGCCCACAAGATGAGAACCAGTTTCTTATACATCCTGTGCAAACTCTAAGTATGAAGTCTCGCTTTGGGGTGTGATGGTTGTCCACTCACCTTTCCCTTCTTCTTCTAATGCCAAATGTTTTTACAAAGCATTTGGAATTTTTGAAAACGTAAAGGTCTATGTTTTCCCTGTGCTTGATAGGTCTAAGGACCATAACAATAAATAAATACCTAGTTCCTTACTTTACTTTTGTAACACAATAATGAATTCCTATTTGAAACTAGTATAATGTCCTGCAAATTATGTAAAATATTCTTGGGGATAACATACCCTTGTTCAGTGATGATTGTTCCATTAGGAAAAGTAGGATGATGTCCCAACTTATGTTTAGGTTACTGATGACTACCTGCTCCTGTCTTCCTCCTTATTAGAGGTTCCCCTTCTACTATGTGTACTATATGAATACATCTTTGTTTCCATGTGTAGACTGGAGACCTCTGTGCAGAAATACATATTCTTACCGTATTTCCCCGAAAATAAGACAGGGTCTTATGTGAATTTTTGCTCCAAAAATGCATTAGGGCTTATTTTCAGGGGATGTTTTTGTCCCCCCCCCCCATGTACAACAATCTACATTTA